AATTCGTGGGGTCGGCTACGCAGCGACAAACAGCGTTTGTAGGGGAGACTTCCACTACAAGAGCATTAGCTCTGAGGGTGCAAGAAGGGTACAGTGCAAGGTAAAGTTCAGAAGTGGGAAATATAGGTGAAGGTTGACAGCAGGTGGGCTATCCACCTTGTGGAGACGAGGTTTTGTCTTCCGTCAACAGTGCTGCATTAGAGGACTCTTGCGGCTAGGAAAGGCCGGTCTCAGCCAAGCTAAGCTAAGTTGTTCTATTTGATGTTTTCTTGAGGCATATTATGTTAGGGGGGGGGGGTCCCTGCAGGTCCTTGTGGCACTGGAGGGATGATCCCCATCTTTTTCGTTTCTAGTTTTTATTGTGGGTGTTTGTGATCTTTTGAGGTCTTTGTTTGTTTGTGGGGTCCCTCCAGGTCCTTGTTGGTTCTTTTTTATTGTGTATATAGAGGCTCTGGTTCTTCGTTATCGGCTTTTATGCTTCTAGGCCACCATCTATGGCTCTATGCGATGTGTTGTTGTTTTCCTCATTTAGTTGGTTTAGTATGGGATCCTGTTCTTGATGGATTTTTTCCCATATTGCATTTGCTTGGGTGTGTATTCTGGTGTTGCGTGGGTCTATACTGTGTTCTGTGTGTATGTCTTGTACTGTTTGTGTGTATGGTGGTCTGTGCTTTGCCGCTCTTGTAAGGGGCTATACTTTGCACTGCTTGAAATTTAAGATTGTTTGTTCTTGTGATTGTGTTCAGAGGTATCGGAGGGTATTCTAAGTGTGGTCTGATCAGTGCTTTGTATAGGTGCAGTTGTGTGTTGGTGTTTAATTGGCAGAATCTTCCAAGCCTTGTAAGTTGTGATGTTGCTATTGCTATTCTTTCATTGATGTGGGGGATTATTCCGTTTCTGGTTGTCTTGAGTCCTAATATTTTTCCGTTGGCAGCATATGGCATTTGTTGGTTATTGACAATAATATGGTAGGAATTTGTTTTTGCGATGTGAATTATTTTGAGTTTTTGGACAATGGTTTTTATCTTCCATTTTCGTTCATAGTTATTTATTATCTCTATTTCTCTGCTTGTTCTAATGGCCATCATTTGTTTGGATTTTCCTGGGTACCTGACTATCTATGTGACATCATCTGCATATGCTATATACTGTATTCTGATTGCCGTGGTTGTGGCATGTCTGCTGTGTATAAAGTGTATAATGTCGGCGATATATTACTGCCTTGGGGAACTCCACTGTGAAGGTTGAAAGTTTGTCCTAGATGGTTGTTGATGATTAATATGGCCTTTCTATTGTCTAAAAAATTGCATAGTAGTGTTGTGATATTGGGAAGCATGTCCAGTTTTTTATTTTCAACTTCAGTCCTTTATGCCAGACTTTATCAAATGCTTTTGATACATCTCTCAGAATTATCTTACATTGGTCTCTGTTGCTTGCAGCATTTGCAATTGATTCGTATATTAGTGCTATTGCTGTGTTGGTTCCTCGATTTTCCGAAAGTCGTGTTGTCTCGGGTTATATTTGCTGTTCTTGGTCTAGATAATTTCTGAGTCTGTGGTTGACAATTTTTTCCGATATTTTACAGTGTGTTTCCAGTCGTGAGATAGGTCTGTAGTTCTCTGCTTGGGTATGGTTCTTGCCTGCTTTTGGGATGAGCCTGATTTTGGCTATTTTAGATTTGGTAGGGAAGAACCCAGTTGCAAGTGAGGCATTATATATATTTTTAAGCCGTTCGATCATTGACTCAGAAATATTTTGTAGTATGATTTTATTAATTTGGCTTATGCCAGGTGCTTTGTTCTTAAAGCTTGCTCTTGTTTTTCAATATCATTTTGGGTTAATGGAGCAATTATTGGGTTATTAATATTTAATGAATTGAGGTTGATTTTTCTAGTAGGTTTCCATTTCTCTGTGTTCTGGCTCAAATATGTTCTAGTTGCCTGTTCTGTTTCGTGGCAGAAGCTTCTATTGTCTTCGTCTTTGATTCTGAATATGTCTTTCAGTATTCTCTAAATATTGGTTCTTTATCGTGTGGTTCTGTTGCTTTTCTTCCGTCTTTGTCCTTTATGTAGCTAATTTCTTCCGAGTTAGTTCCCATTAAGTTTTTTATTTTTTTCCAGAATGCTTTTGGGTTTCTGTAGTCTGCTTGTGTGTCATTGATCAACTTGTTCCAGTTTTCATTATGTTTGTTCTTGCTTATGACTTTCAGTTCTTCTTATAAATTCTTGTATGATATTCTGTTGTCATCGTTCCACCCGTGTGTTTTGGTGCATTCATATAGATTGGTGAATCTAGTTTGGATCATTTTCTCTTCATATGTTAATTGTGCATGTGGTAATGTTGTTTTTGGGATGTTGTTTTTCATTGCTGTTATTACTTCATTGTACCATGTATCCAGTGTTTTGTCAATCTCTGTTGTGTCTTTGTTGTGTAGTAGTGTTGGTTCGTTGTTGCTAAGATCCGATTTAAATTTTTCCCAATTTGCTCTATTGAGTGAAAACCTTGGGATTGATGGAATTTGTATCGGGAATGTGGCTAGAGTTGCTATTATGAGTAGATGATCAATGGTTGCTGTGGGTCCAGCCTTTAGATGTACGCTTAGATGGTGATGCCTATTGGTTAAAACAATGTCTGGTTTTCCAGAGCTACCGGCTGATACGTAAGTTTCGAGGTCGGGCCTGAGGTGTGTTATTGTCCCGTGTTCGATTAGAGCATGGAGGATTTTTCCTCCTGGGTTTCTATTATTGTGTCCTAAGGTTGTGTGTTTAACTTTGAGGTTGTGGGGTTTCGTGATGTTGTCTCACACTCTGGACGGGTTGGAGAAAGGAAACTCACACTGAGCTCTCTGTATACATATTGTATTTGATGTACAGTGCAGCTTGGTGCTGGGAAGTGACAGTGTGGTTACAAGCGTGGAGAAAAGAGAGTTGGTTCGGGAGCGTGCTCAGAGGAGGTGTTGCTTGCTGCGTGGCTGTAGGTCGAAGAAGGGGCAGGTCACGGCGAGGTGAGGTCTTATATAGCGGAGGTAGGCGTGGCTTGATAGTTGACCTCCGCTATGTTAGGCGGCGCTAGTAGCCAACCTTAGACCACGAGGCATTGGCTGGGGAATTCGAAAAGGGGTCGGCTGGTCAGCAGTTGTAGTTGTAGGGGAAATATCCACTACAATACTCCCCCTTCCCTCCAGGCGGTGCAGGAGACTTGTTGTCTGCAGGGTTGTATCCCACATGTGAGACATAATGGGTGGTGCAGGAGACTTGTTGTCGGCAGGGTTTTATTCCACATGTGAGACATAACGGGCGAGGGTGTGGATGAGCCGGCCGCTATAGGAGACAACTTTGTCTAGAGACACGAGATCTGTGGGAGAAGCAGAGGGAGAAGGAGGGTTGTGGATGAGAGGAGGTTGTACAGGCAAGGAATGTGGTGTTTCTCTCGCGGGAGGTACACAGTCCTCAGTGGCGCCGGGTGGGGTGTCTGGGTCCGCGTCAGGAGCAGGGGCCGCGTCAGGAGGAGAGTCCATGACAGCAGCAGGGTGCAAGACAGGCGCAGTGGGTACCTGAGGAAGAAAAGAGGGTGCCTAGAAATGTGGGCGAGGTGGGGCTGCAAGGGGTAATGGTGGGCAGACTGGCGGAGGAGGTGCGGGATGAATGTGTTCAGGGCGGTGGGAAGGCTGGCGTGGAGCAGTAGCCTTGAATGCAGAAACCGCCTGACGTCGTGTTTGTAGTAGGTCGTGACGGGCAGCAGGAGTGAAGTGGTCAAGGTCAGAAGTAAGGCCTGTGATGGAGGCTATGGCGCCTACCCGTCTCCATCGATGTCACTTCACCGTGTAGTTGCAGGGAGCCTCACAGCCTCTAGCGTTAGCACCAAAACGTTGATGGTACCAACAGGGGGTAGATACACTGTACTGTGGGCTGGGGGCGGCGTCTGAGGCAGGACTGGTGTGTTGGGGTCGGTAGAACGTGGTGCTTGGGGCAGGAAGAGGAGCAGCTGCATGCTTGGAGGAGCAGAGCTGCTCTAGGGTGTCTAACCTGCGGTGTAGGGACTGTAGCTGTAGAGCCGATGAGAGCTGCCTCAGTGTGGATGAGCCAGTCTTCAATGTTGTGATTGAAGACTGGGAGAGTGATCAGTTTCTCCTCCATCCTGTGCGAGTGCAATTCTCCGGGGTCACCATTTGTGGGGTTTCGTGATGTTGTCTCACACTCAGGATGGGTTGGAGAAAGGAAACTCACAATGTGTTCTCTGTATACATATTGTATTGGATGTACAGGGCAGCTTGGTGCTGGGAAGTGGCAGCGTGGTTACAAGCGTGGAGTAGAGAGAGCTGGTTCGTGAGCGTGCTCAGAGGAGGTGTTGCTTGCTGTGTGGCTGTAGGTAGAAGAAGGGGCAGGTCACGGCGAGGTGAGGTCTTATATAGCAGAGGTAGGCGTGGCTTGATAGTTGACCTTCGCATGTTAGGCGTTGGCTGGGGAATTTGAAAAGGGGTTGGCTAGTCAGCGACAAACGGCAGTTGTAGTTGTAGGGGAAATATCCACTACAAGGTCTCCTATGAAGTACAGTCAATTCTGCTACAACGCGATAGTTGTGTTCTTGTAAAACCTCGCGTTGTAGAAATTCGCGCAATAGAAATAACAGGGCTTATGGAGAAAACAGGGTTAGGTGCAGATTACTTGAAACTGAAAAAAAATTAGTAGTTAGCCTAACACAAAGGATAGCACAGTCTAAATAAATGTTACATTCATATCTAATAATGAAATCATACAGTAAATGTAACAATTTACCTTGAAAAAATATGAATATAACTTAATGGGGGAGAAGGGTGATTTTGAGGTTGAGGAGTCATGCAGACAGGAGTTGAAAGTTGTCATCGTCATCATCAGTATCATCATCATCAGGTACAGTTTTGGATGCATGGGAGGGACGAAAAAAACGTCTAATTCCAGAAGTGGATGGCTGTGGTTCAGTGTCTTCAGACTGTTTCTTGGGGGTTGACTTAAAAAAGACGTCTAATGTTTGCTGCTTTGCCGTCTTTCACACACAAGCTGTTCATAAGGTGCCAAAAAAGATTTAACACCACGAACTACAATCCTGCTCCATTCTGCATTGTAGCCATTGTCTTCCAAGAGCTGCAACTGCGTATCAACTTCCCTCAGGATAGAAGACAAAAGAGAAGTAGGAAGCTCTCGTGGTTCTGCATCCTGGCCTTCATCATCTTTGGCATCTTCAGTTTCCCCAGCAGCAACAAGTTGTTGTAGATCAGCTGTAGAGAGGTCTTCACAGTGGGACTTGATCAGTTCCTCAACACCAGCACTTTCCACTTCAGCAAAGCCAACTTGCTTTGCAAGAGAAACGCAATTTTCTTTTATTTTTGGGAGCTCCTCTGATGCATCAAAGCCTTTAAAATCATGAATGAATTCTGGGAGAAGCTTCCGCCAAACTCCATTCAAGCAGTCCTTACTTACATCACCCCAGGCCTCCACAATGATGTCAATTGCATGCTTGATGTTGAAACTTTCCCAAAACTGAAGAACACTGGCCTTATCATCTCCTTCCTCAGTACCTGCAATAAGTTTCTTAAATGTACGTCTCAAATAATAGGCTTTGAAGGCTGCTATTACTCCTTGATCCATTGGTTGAAGGAGAGATGTTGTATTTGGAGGTAGAAAGAGCATTTTGATATTGTCAGAAAGCTCAGCATTGGTGGGAGGGCGGCTTGGCACATTATCTAAAATGAGGAGAATCTTTAAGTTGATATTCTTTTTCTTGCAATAACCCTGAGCCAAGCGACAGTACACTTAAAACGTTCGAGTGGAATCACGTTACAGCCAACACGCTTTCGCGTTTTACAAATATCGTTCTTCTAGTCATCAATCGCATTATAACCAATTCGCGTTGACAAAACACACGTTGTAACAGAAATGACTGTATGCTGGATTGTTTTGCCTCATTAGTTTTAAGATGTCCCCTGTAGGGAATATTGGCTTTCTGAATGTTAGATATGAAGTTCCAATAGTTACTGGGCCTCTTGTTGTATCACATGGATCACTCATAGCCTGTCTGGCATGACCCACAAAGTACTATAATTCTAACTGTCCTAACTACCCAGAACCCGAAGGTCATAACTACTAACCTGCCAAGGGGCAGGCATTTACAAGAAACTGAGAAAATCACTCAGGACCCGTCAGGCAGGCGGGTGCTCCGCTGTTTTTCCATTACTCTCTCTAGATTTCAGGAGTCATGAATGTTTTTCTCCACCAACACCCGTAACATGCTTCACCCATAGGTTCCGAATGCACCCGTACTTTTGAGGTACTAACAGCCTTTCACCAACTTTGAAGAGGAACCTCTATGTCCCACGTGTGCAATCAACCATGAGGAGCATTGATTACACACCTGAACTTGGTTAATTCGATCACATACATCCAATACTGGGGAGATAAATGTCTCTATGTGACCACTAGACTCATGGTCTCAGTGTGTGACCTTTCATTCACTCAGTCTGCACTCAGTTTACTCTCAGTACTTCATGAACAGGAAGAGAGTGACCATCAGCAGGTGAACCCTGCCCAGCTGAGGGAGGGGTTCTATTTTCCCGTTAGTAAGATTTTTCACTGACTGACTGAAGAGATGTGGTGTTGTGTGAACCAAGGTGGGGAGATTTGTTGACCCAGAACGACCACCGACCAAAGTGCGGACGCTGGTCCCACGTAGTTAGTCGTCAGGGACACCCGTTCACCTCGTGCGTTCCAGCTATACGACCGCTAACCAGTGACCAATCACCCACTGACCGACCGAGAGGGTTCTCTGAACCCTGCAAAAGAACACTGTTAGTTCCTGTTAACTTTTTCTCCACCCTATCTAAACACTGTCTGAGATCAAATAAAACTTACTTGCAACACTGATGAAACATGCACGGGAAGGGATGAGGCCACATGGTCAATTTCCTTGGCGGAACGCGCAGTAAGATATCTGTCTCGGTCAATGAGGGCCGCTCACTAAGACTAGGTCAGTGTTGGCCTAGCCTTCACCCAATGACGTCATCTTTCGCGTAGTACTAATAGTTTCTTTGGGACACACGTAACATATTTAGACTGAGAAACTATCCACAATAACTTTAAATTTTATAATTGTCCCTTAACTTCCATACAAATTACCCGGTCTGAATATAATTTACATTGCTGGAATTCTTATAATTTGATGATCATTTTGAATATAAACATCATATTTTTGCATTAGACATACAAATTTTAGATAAAAATTTTTCTCAAATTAACTATGTTATCTTTTGTGCAAAATATATGACATTTATATTCAAAATATTCCTGTTAAAAACCCTGGAAGGGAGGATTGGTGGGGGGTGGGGGGGAGGGTTGGGACTGACCGCGCGGTTGGAAGAGGGGGGGAGGCAAGGTTGAGTCCATTATTTGAATGGACATTAACTTGGCGACTGTATTTCTCTATTTCTCTTAAGTATTAATTGTGTGCATGTACCATCATAAAATTAAGATGTTATTTTTACTACAACATAGGTATGTGCCTTCAAAAAGTGGAGTTTGGGGGTCGGGCCGGTTTCTATTGGAATTAATCCCATATGTTCTGTTGTTCACTTAACGCGGATTTCACTTAACGCGGGACCCTCTGGGTTCAATTGACCGCGTTAAGTGGGGTACAACTGTACAATGAAATACAGTACAGTAAAAGTAATGAATAATGAGGAATGGATACAGTACAGTGAAAGTAATAAATAATAAGGAATGAGCACTTACCTTTAATGTAGTCAGCTGAATGCACATGGGGCCCCCATAATTTTCTAATTATACATGGAGACTACATTAACTGGAAACATTTCGGTATAGAAAATGTGTGTGTCATTTGAAGAAAATTTTTTTATTTTTATTTATTTTTTTTTTTTTTAATAAAAAATCTGCGGCGGTCATAAGTCCCGACGGTCGTAAGTCCACTTAGTCGTAAGTCGGGGTCTAGGTGTATATGTAATATTCAGAAATTTCAGAGTAATTTCAAATGCCCCGCCATTAGCGATACTGAGCGTTCAAGGTCGTTTGAGGGAAGAGAGCGCTCCCCACACATAGTGGGAGTTTGTGGAACTAGGCCTATATGATATTAAATGTAATTTGCCGAATTAATAATGATGCGATTCATGAAGTTAAGGGACTATTATTGAATTTGAAATTATTATAGATCGTTTATCAGTCTGAATAATGTTACGGGTGTCCCAAGGAGTTATTAGTTAGGCGGAAAATATGTCACGTAGGCCTAAGCTAACGCCTTGAGAGGACACGAGGCGGGCTCTCTCTCTCTGTCACGGGGAGCATTCAGACAAACAAGACGTCCCTGCGCGTCCGTCACAGAAATAGCCACGTGGCCTAGTCACCTGTGTTGCACTATTGCAGTATAACAAGTAAGTCTCATTCGATCTCAGACAGGGTTAGATAGGACAGTGGTAAAGTAAACTAGAGCTAACAGTGAGTTCATTTCAGGGTTTCCGCCAGAACCCACTTGACCGGAGTTTGACTGCGAGAGATTGACTGCCGTTTGAGACTGCCGTTGATGATTGAGGGTGGCGATTGTCGCCATTGGACCGATCAGTGTAGGCCTGTCACTGTTTAGCGGGGTATCAAAGGATCTCTTGAGGGAATCTAGCCGTCTGGGTGCCCAGCTGACGACAGGACGATCGTTGGGGCATCAGCCCTCCTCTACCTCGGCTCACAACCCCACATGTCTCGAGCAGCTTAGTGAAACCCTCTTGCTAACGGGAAGCTAAAGCTTCTCT